ATGCAGAGAAAGCTAAGCTACAGAACAAGACAAAACAACAACACATGACAGCGAGAAGTAGAGTTGTGAGGTAGAAAAATAGTATTTCATGGATTGCTAGAGACTGGGTTCTAGTGCCTTACTAAAACTGACTCCATCCCTGCCCTTTAGATCCACGAGGCACTTCAACATACAGTTGACCCTTGAACAACTTGGATTAAACAGCACTGGTCTCCTTGTATGTGGATTTTTTCCCCCAATAAGTACAGAGTACTATAAATGTATTTTCTCTTTTTTATGATTTTCTTAATAACAGTTTATTTTATCTAGCATACTCTATTATAAGAATACAAGATATAGTACATATAATATACAAAATATGTGTTAATGGACTATGCTCTCTGTAAGGCATCTGGTAGAAGTAGGCTATTAGTAATTAAGTTTTTTGCGAGTCAAAAGTCATTAGTGATTTTCCACTGCCTAGGGCTTGAGGTTGTGGGGGTAATTTCACAGCCCCTGACCCTGGAGTTGTTTTTCTATTATAAGAATACAAGATATAATACACATAATATACAAAATATGTGTTAATGGACTATGCTCTCTGTAAGGCATCTGGTAGAAGTAGGCTATTAGTAATTAAGTTTTTTGCGAGTCAAAAGTCATTAGTGATTTTCCACTGCCTAGGGCTTGAGGTTGTGGGGGTAATTTCACAGCCCCTGACCCTGGAGTTGTTTAAAGTTCAATTGACTTAAATACAATTGTTCACTTTTTAACTTAAAGTAGCTTAAGTTCATTTGTGTTACTTGTGACTAAAGTCTTAATTGATAGTTATATAATTGCTTAATACTTATTAGCAAGGGTAGTTCAATAAATATTCTCATCATATGGCTCTGAAACATATTTTTATCTAGAAGCCTTTATGCTAGTATTTAGAATTGGTAAATTTTTGGACCTGTGTATTATAAATTCAAATCTGCATTTGGAATATACATATATTCTATTTAACTTATAATTTCTATGTAATATCCAATTTGGGGTATTAGGAAGTCTTCAAATCTCTTCAAACTCTAGCTGTGCCATTCAAATACAATTTCATAATTGAGCACAAAAAATTGTCATTTAAATATCTTTCGTAAAAGATTTGATTTTTATAATTTAGTGTGGTATAGGATATGTATTTGGCTTTTCTTCCCACTCCCTGGCTCTGAGTTCCTAAAACCCTTGGAATTTTTTTGATAGGAGTTTGTTATTCATAATGAGGTTCTTTCAAAAGATCACTTGAGTTTATGCAAATAAGGTGACTTAGGCTGGGGGTCCTAGGAAGAACAGGTTACCAGAAAGACTGAGTAATTTGAGGGTAGTGTAATGGACTGCATTGTGGCCCCCTAACCTTCTCCCTTTATGCAAATTGAATCCCTAATCTTTCCCCTTGTGGCTGTATTTGGAAATAGACAGGGGGTGATGGGGATGGAGGTGCAGAGAGAATGCAGGTGTCCACTGAGCTCGCTCTCACTCCGCCTGCTACCCTGCCCTGGGACGCCAGGGCTTGTGCACCAGGGAAGCCCCTACGCTCAGGTGTCGGGCACCCGCCCGCAAGGAGCACACCTCGCACCTGCACAGCTTCTTCCAGGTGAGCCAAGCCACAGCCCCTGGGACCGCAGTGGCCAGTCGGACTCCCTGTGGGTTCGCACAGGAGCTGGTCTGCAAGGCTGGCTGGGAGAGAGGTGCTGCCTGCCTGGCTTCTGTGCAGTGCCTCTGGGCGGCCCAAAGGCTCATGTTGTGCTCTGGCTTGCAGCATCTGGCCTCAACTCACCGCATCTCTGTGTGGGGATTTGGGCGCTGTGACTCAGGCAGAGGGGGGCGTGCGGGACCTAGGGGCCCAGGTGCTGCTCAGGGCCCAGAGGTTGCTGGGACCTGCCCTTCCATGCCAGTCACCTGTGCATGAATTTCGGGCACCAGGCCTCTAGTAATAATATAATCTCATGAAAAATGGGCAAGTAACTTTATGCAGTTCAAAATCCAAATAAGATTTTTATTCCATCATAGTATATAAATTAGGTATCCACTATTACATGAAGTAATAAATTTTCTGGAAAGAATAGAGGTACACTGCCCTGGCTGCTGTGGCTCAGTTGGTTGAATTGTTGTCCCATACACTGAAAGGTGGCAGGTTCGATTCCTGGTTAGGGCACATACCCAGGTTGTGAGCATTTGGGAGGCAACTAATGGATGTTTCCCTCTCTCGTTCTCTCTTTCTCTCTCTTCCCCTCCCCCCTTCCTCTCTCTAAAACCAATGAAAAACATTTTCTCTGGTGAGGTTTTAAAAAAAAATACAGACACAGTAATAAGTATTGAAGACTTTTATTTAAAAGTTTCTTTTCAGTATGCACATGAAATGAGACTGGAGTCAAATAAAAATAATTTAAGGCAAACTTTATTTATTTTAAATAAGGCAAGTGAAAATGTGGGCCCAGAATTAAACAAAAATTTTAAGTAACTTCTGGTTGTTGTATATTGGGAGAATATAAGCATCAAAATTTTTACTATCACTGTATAAAATTGAAAACAAATATTTTCCAAATTCTAGCAAAATGAACTCCTCTAATACAATATCATTAAGTCTACATAGTCACTGGCAAGTTATTTGGTTGTGTCCAAATCCTATAGAAGTTTCTCATTGTAAATTTTAGAATATACTACTTTTATAAACCCACCATTCTGTCATTGGAAAAATATTGAAATTCCAAGGAATTTCTGTTACTCTAATTTAAAAGAAGTCAAAATAACAAAAATAATGCATTTTTCAAGGTTAATATAATTCAAGTACAGTGGTACTGAAGACAACACATAATTTAATGAAACCAAATCTATTTGAGGAAAGGCAAGTCATAAAGTTAAACAAAGGAAAAATTACTATTAGAATCAGTTGTATATGATTAGTGAAGAGTACTTATTTGAAGATTTTCACTGGGAAAAATCTTGAAGCCCTTTCTTTTTCTGTAG